CCCCCTCGCCACCCCCCCCCCCCCAAATCGAAAGGCGCGTCTAAAAATGTCGCACTTTATAATCCTTTACTCTAAATTCATTCTTGATATAATCCTAGTTTACAGGTGTCTCGCACGTAATACTACAGTTGCTTAGAGTGAAATAAAGATAAGCACCCCCCCATGCAATAGTGACACGCCAGTCTACCCACCGGATAAAAACATCTTCCATTGACGTGGCGGAGATCCCAAAACTGGAGATGTGGAGCGTGTCCTTGAGATTCTCCAGGTCCTCAAATAAAACGGGCAAGACCTTGACCTTCTGGTCTGGAAGGACGTAGTAGATTTCACTGTTCGTCTGCCCCTGTGCATTGGATGAAATTCGTTGTAAATGCGGCGAAAAACTTGTCAGTCATGCAGAGTATTATTGAACTTAATTCTGGGACGGTCACCATGGCAGACTCCTCCACCGGGGAACACGCTGTCATGCCACGCCCTCCTACCCAGCCGGCAAAGAACAGGGCTGTAGCCCAGGCACCAGGAGATAGATGTAAATGCCTTCGAGTCCTGACACATGGGAACATAGTGTCTCGTCATCTAACCGAGACACAAGGGAACATGGCCACCCAACCAAGGCACCAGGGAACATGGCCATCCAACCAAAACACCAGGGATCATGTTTTCATGCTGTCAAACTCAGGGAACTTGCTGTCAATCATCCAACACAGACACTGAAAACTGCTGTCATGCCATCCAACACAGGCACTATGGAAATTGCTGTCATGCCATTCATCACTGACACTGTGCAACTTGCTGTCATGCGATCCAACAGACACTATGAAACTTGCTGTCATGCGATCCAACACAGACACTATGTAACTTGCTGTCATGCGATCCAACACAGACACTATGCAGCTTGCTGTCATGCGATCCAACACAGGCACTATGTAACTTGCTGTCATGCGATCCAACACATACACTATGTAACTTGCTGTCATGCGATCCAACACAGGCACCTGGACACATGCACACTTTATTGAACATTGCTCAAACTACCTACCGTAAACTGTGCCTCGGGCAGGTGCTTGTGGATCAGTTCAGTCACATCGTCGGCATTGCAGCCGGGGAGTTTAACCACATTCATTTGGTACCCGGTCCCTGGTGAGATTAATGAGAAGTTTAACTACATTCATTTGGTCCCCGGTGAGATTAATGAGAAGTTTAACTACATTCATTTGGAACCCGGTCCCTGGTGAGATTAATGAGAAGTTTAACTACATTCATTTGGTACCCGGTCCCTGGTGAGATTAATGAGAAGTTAAACTACATTCATTTGGTACCCGGTCCCTGGTGAGATTAGTGAGAAGTTTAACTACATTCATTTGGTACCCGGTCCCTGGTGAGATTAGTGAGAAGTTTAACTACATTCATTTGGTACCCGGTCCCTGGTGAGATTAGTGAGAAGTTTAACTACATTCATTTGGTACCCGGTCCCTGGTGAGATTAGTGAGAAGTTTAACCACATTCATTTGGTCCCCGGTCCCCGGTGAGATTAGTGAGAAGTTTAACTACATTCATTTGGTCCCCGGTCCCCGGTGAGATTAATGAGAAGTACATTTTGGTGGTCTAGTCTAAATGTTGATGATCTAGTACATGTTGGTGATCTAGTACTTGTTGGTGATCTAGTTCATGTTGATAATCTAGTACATGTTGGTGATCAAGTATTTGCTGGTATAAATATGTGACGTTCATGTAGCAATTATTTAAGTATACTAGAAGATGGTACAATAAAGTGGATGGTACTGCAAGAAAGATGGTACCACAGGACAAGGAGGATGTATAAAATGGGATAATTTACCACAAGGGAGATGTTACCAGACGAGATATATTTACCACAAGGGAGATGTTACCAGACGAGATATATTTACCACAAGGGAGATGTTACCAGACGAGATATATTTACCACAATGGAGAGGGTTATATCACAAGAAAGAAATTATCACACGAGAGGGGGTGTTACATACTCAAGCCCTTTTTGTGATGATACCAAAAAGGAAGATTGTATCGGAAGGGAGACTGTATCACAGAGAAGATTTTTACAACAAGGGAGATGGTATCACAATGGAGATTGGTATCATATGGGAGTAAGGATACACATAACCACACAAGAGACTAGAAAGCAAACATAAATTCAAAAACACGTAAACTGGCAAGCAAGCGCCACTATAAAGCAGAAGTCGGTTACCATAAATCTGTTTGAGAAACATCGGGGTGCCCCCGCACTTGACGATCCCCTCGGCCATGATCATAATCCTGTCCCCCAGGACGTCGGCCTCGTCCATGTAGTGGGTAGTCAGCAGGATGGTGCGGCCGGGTCGCATTTGGCCTTTAAGTAATCCCGGGGTTCACGCCGAGCACTTGGGTAAAGGCCAGACGATGGCTCGTCAAGGAACACCGTCTGTGGGGGGGGGGCAAAAAAAAACATTTGACGCATCTGCTGAATCCTACAAACACATTTTTTGTGTGGGTATTTTGGAGCGCTTTTGTTAATAGTCGTACTCACGGTAAAGATTAATATAAAACACTATAACAATGAATGCTGACGCCTTCAATATTACAAGAATGATTGTAATAAGTCTACGATCCTTCTTTCTTAACAATCCTTCAATAATCGCGGTTACACCATGCTTCTCCTCTAATCTCGTTCTAAGTCTCGTCTCTCTCTCTCTCTCTCTCTCTCTCTCTCTCTCTCTCTCTCTCTCTCTCTCTCTCTCAATATTCAAAATATCCCCCAATTACTGAGACGTTACACCGTGCATTTTGTGTTCGCAGTGGCTATTCTGACTCGGGTCCGAGAAGTGAGAGGTTAAGATTAAAATTTAAAAAAAATATAGTATTGTTAGGTTGTTAGACAAAATTTGGTATCAAATAAAAGATAATTGAATGGACCGTATGTTTGTAAACTTTCTTCTTCTGTTTAACTAAAAAAAACGACCACAAATGACATACCAATAGCATTTAGTCTAATGGGACCCGGGTCCGAATAGCGGCGATGCGTTTCCGGTTCCAGTTTGACTAAATGCTATTTGGATGTCATTTGCGGTAGTTTATTTTAGTTAAACTGAAGAAGTAAGTTTACAAACATATTCAATTATATTTCATTTGATACCAAATTTTGTCTTACAAACCCTACAATAATTTTTAATTTTTTTTGTATAAAACCCAAACTCTCACTTCTTGGACCCGGGTCCGAATTGCCGCAGCATTTTGTGTTTGTTTTCAACGCTTTTCGAAATAACCGAAAGTCCATACCAATTATTTTTGTTTCAATCGTCTGCATTAGGTCTAAATAAATATAGAATGAAATTTTGCAACAACCAGTCTTTCTTTCAGCCATCTCTCCAATAGGGGGTGGGGGGGGAATGCTAGTGGCAGTGCCCTCCAATCAAGTCAACTGTCTCACCCTCCCTCTCCAACCCCCCCCCCAGTAAAAATGGTTAAAAATGAAGCATGAACCAAAAAACCTAAATGAAACAAATGGAATTATCCATTAAGTACCATTTGTATACATTATTTTTATTGATACCTTTCACGTGGGTATAAGAAAAATCCCCATGTTACCGTGTGCTGATCTGAGTTCAATTTTTTTAATCAACATTAAAATGAGTGTCATAGTGGGGAAAAAATGAGTGACATAAAGTGTGGGAAAACCCGAAAAAGGACGCAACCAACGTGTCGGCAAGAAGCCTTCATCAGCGAACCAACAACAGTAAAAAATTTAAAAAATAAAATAAAATAAAAAAATTTAAAATAAAAATAAGCTCTTATCTGCAATGTAGTATCCAAGAGGACAGATAGAATGTTATAGATCAGAAGTAGGTGAGAGATTTAATACAGGCAAAATGTATCTGACCTCACCTGAGATATTGTCCCGATCTGAACCCACCTGATATATTGTCCCGATATGACCTCACCTGAGATATAAACACATATCTGACCTCACCAGTGATATTGCCCCATATTTTTTTAATCTTACCGGAGATAGGGTCCCATATCTTATCCCACCTCAGATATTGCCCCATACTATCTTACCTTGGTATTCCCAATGAAAGAGCAGGCCACCGACAGTTTCCTCTTCTGGCCGCCAGACAAATTCATGGCGTATGTGAACATCTTGGACTCAAGTCCCACGTCAATCAGTAGTTTCCTGATCTCCTCATTGGAACTTTTGTTATATTGTCCATGGAGCTTTAATATGAATCACATGTTAAAATGTTAAAAGTCATATAAATCCCATCATGAACAAAAATGTATAAACAACATCATAAACAATAATAGCATATTGATCATACCATAAACAAAAATGCCATATCAATCACACCCTAAACAGAACTATCATATAAATCACATCATTAACATTTATTAACAAGAATATATAAATCGCATCAAAAACAACAAAATATCATATAAATCACTTCATAAACTTAATGATATCCCATCAATCCTTATGTGTTTTTATGCTTCGGATCCTGATTGAAGTCTACGAAACCTTCAAAAGCGTTTGCTCTAGAAAACTTTCCAGCTTTCATTCTGAATTCTTCATGGTATTCCACAACTCAGAAACTTGGTATTCCACAACTCAGAAACTTGGTATTCCACAACTCAGAAACTTGGTATTCCACAACTCAGAAACTTGGTATTCCACAACTCCGAAACTTGGTATTCATAAACTCTGAAACTTGATATTCCAAAACTCAGAAACCTTATTTTCCAAAACTCAGAAACTTGGTATTCATAAACTCTGAAACTTGATATTCCAAAACTCAGAAACTTGGTATTCCAAACTCAGAAACTTGGTATTTCAAAGCTCTGAATCTTGGTATTTCAAAAACTCGGAAACTTGTTATTCATATACTCTGAAACTTGATATTCCAAAACTCAGACACTGACGAACTAACACACAGTATTTATTTTTCAGTCACTTTTGTTCGTAGCTGGCTGGTGAAATCTTCGAACGACTAAATGACTCACTTCATATCGAGCTGAAACTTGGCTCATAGCCCCTTTTTTTTCAAATGTTAACAAATTTTATCAAATTTTCAGACCCACCCCATATTGCTCGACATTAATTTAATTTAATTGTATTAATGTCTAGAGTGGTTGTTGTGGCAGATCTCCATGTTGATGTCTCTCGTTTTCACATCTCCCCATGAACCTTCCCCCAACAGCCTTTCCCACTGAGATCTATGGCACTGGCCAATTAATAGGTTTTTCTCGAAAAAGTATTAAATATCATTGCCGGTCAGTTGTAACTCTACGTTTAAATACCTTACATTAGCGTGACACATCAGTCTGAGCCCCTCCCCCACCCCCCACCCAACTGTGGCAAATTAATTTATCTATCTTACACCAGTGGTTCCCAACCTGTGCTCCGCATGCACTTCTCATGGGCTCGGACGGCTGCTCCGGGAAACAAAATAGACCTATACACTATTCACCTGTAAGAACTGGGGGTAGGCCTAAGGGGCTCCTCCTTAGAAATTAATTCTAAAAACCGGTACCGCGAGAGAGATAAAGGTTGGGGACCGCTGCGTTACTTAATTTAAATATCTGAGATGATTGTGACAACTTACCTTTGAGTAAAAGATCAAATGCTCTTTGGCATTAAGCTTGTTGAATAGAATGTCGTGTTGGGGACAGAGGCCTAGGCTGGACCTGGCCTTGTCCAGGTGTTTGGTGATGTCATAGCCATTCACTATGGCCGTCCCTCTCGTTGGTTTCAAAAATCCTTTAAAATGGGTTAAAAAATGTCAAAAGTTTTGAGTCTGGAATCATCAACTACCTCACTCCACAGCACTACCTCAATCAACAGCACTACCTCACTCTACATACACTACCTCACTCTAAATCAACTACCCCATTCTACATCAATTACCTCACTCTACATCAACTACCTCACTCTACATCAGCTACCTCACTCTACATCAACTACCTCACTCCACATCAACTACCTCACTCTACATCAATTACCTCATTCTACATCAATTACCTCACTCTACATCAACTACCTCACTCTACATCAACTACCTCACTCTACATCAACTACCTCACTCTACATCAACTACCTCACTCCACATCAACTACCTCACTCTACATCAATTACCTCATTCTACATCAATTACCTCACTCTATATCAACTACCTCACTCTACATCAACTACCTCGCTCTACATCAACTACCTCACTTTACATCAACTACCTTACTCTACATCAACTACCTCTCTCTACATCAACTACCTCAATCTACATCAACTACCTCGCTCTACGTCAACTACCTCACTCTACATCAACTACCTCACTTAACATCAACTACCTCACTCTATATCAACTACCTCAATCTACATCAACTACCTCGCTCTACATCAATTACCTCATTCTAAATCAATTACCTCACTCTACATCAACTACCTCACTCTACATCAACTACCTCACACTACATCAACTACCTCAATCTACATCAACTACCTCGCTCTACATCAACTACCTCACTCTACATCAACTACCTCACACTACATCAACTACCTCACTCTACATCAACTACCTCACTCTACATCAACTACCTCTCTCCACATCAACTACCTCACTTTACATCAACTACCTTACTCTACATCAACTACCTCACTCTACATCAACTACCTCACTTTACATCAACTACCTTACTCTACATCAACTACCTCTCTCTACATCAACTACCTCACTTTACATCAACTACCTTACTCTACATCAACTACCTCACTCTACATCAACTACCTCACTTTACATCAACTACCTTACTCTACATCAACTACCTCACTCTACATCAACTACCTCGCTCTACATCAACTTAAGGTGGCACTGACCATGATACAGTGTGCCAATGCCATAAAGGTGGCACTGACCATGACACAGTGTGTCCATTCCATTAAGGTGGCACTGACTAAGACACATCGTGTCCATGCCATAAAGGTTGCACTGACCATGACAATTGTTTCTACCTGTTATCATTCCAATGGTTGTCGTCTTGCCCGCCCCGTTGTGCCCCAGTAAGACAGTGATCTGATCCTGATACAAGTCCATGCTGGTCCCTGCCACGGCAATATGGCCGCCAAACATCTGAACAAGGGGAAAGCATCTTTTTTTAAGATCAACAGTTGATCGCTAACCACTCTGATTGGTAGCAAGTAACAAATGGGTAGCCGAAATCTGGTGGGTAGCCAGTATCAAATGGGTAGCCAGAAATCTGATGGGTAGCCAGTATCAAATGGGTAGCCAGAAATCTGATGGGTAGCCAGTATCAAATGGGTAGCCAGAAATCTGATGGTTAGCCAGAAATCTGATGGGTAGCGACTATGAAATGGGTAGCCAGAAATTTAAAGCGTAGCCATTATTAAATGAATAGCCATAAATCTGATGAGTTGCCAGGAATTTGATTGGATTATGAAATGGATGGTCAGAAGTTTTATTGGTAGCCAGTATCTAGTGGGTAGCCGAAAATCTGATTGTAGCTATTATGAAATGGGTAGCCAGAAATTCGATGGATTGCCAGGAATCTGATTGTTAACTATTATGAAATGGGTAACCAGAAATCTGATTGGCAATCAGTATCAAATGGGTAGCCAGAAATCGGATGGGTAGCCAGAAATCTAATGGGTAGCCAGAAATCTGATGGGTAGCCAGAGCTCTGATAAGTAGCCAGTAGCCAGAAATCGGATGGGTAGCCAGAACACTGATGGGTAGCCAGAAATCTGATGGGTAGCCAGAAATCTGATGGGTGGCCAGAAATCTGATGGGTAGGCATAAATCTGATGTATCCTTTTGACGGTGTTGCTTGTGTTACTTACGTCATGGGGTGTCGTGGGGTGAGGTGGGGGTGTCACAATTAAATGAGACAGCCCTCTGCCAAAATGTTAATATCTATCACACAATAAAAACTTGCAGTGACAAGGGAACCACTCTCCCCCCCCCCCCAATTACTTCGGTGAGCTGATACCGACAGAGAGTGCGCTATGGTCAGATCATGATAAAAAATAACAGGGCTTGTCATTTAATGGCGGAAATCTATTATTAGAACTGCCGTAATCATCTGGGTGCCCGTGCCGGACAAAATGTCCACACTGTTCAGTATTGCTATTGTTAGCGAAGTGTCCCTGAAGCTTGTTTACAACTCTATTTTACGAAATATTTTACACATTTTTTTAAAACTTCTATTTTGTGAAATGGGACTACATTGCGCGAACGGCACATGTAACAGTACCTCTAGATACAAGGATCGTCCGAACGGTATGCTGAAACACGCTATAAGCTGCCATGTTTTAAGCAATATTTGTCCGCCGACCTTCTAAAAATAGTACGCTGTGACGTTTTCCGGTCTGAGAAATGACACACCCTATTCGAAGACCCCGGATTCGTGAAAACCGAACAAACACGCTTCCGGTTTCAAAACAATCCTTGATTAAGGGCCAGGTTTCAAGATGCTGTAGCCTACCTTCACCAAACCCCGTACCATGACCCCAGGTTTGAGGTCAGCAGGAGGACACTCAAACAGGCGACTGTCTGCCTGGGGCAGGTCGGGTATATCTGCTGCTGACTCGTCGGGCGGACACCAGTACTCTTTCTGTGGATTTTTTTTTTTTTTTTTGAGACATAACGCAACCGTTAGTTTTTAGGGCAAAATAAATTTTTGAACGTTTGCCTGGGGGAGGTGGGGTATATCTGCTGCTGACTCGTCGGGCGGACACCAGTACTCTTTCTGTGGATTTTTTTTTTTTTTTTTGAGACATAACGCAACCGTTAGTTTCTAGGGCAAAATAAATTTTGGAACGTTGACGAAAATTCTACCCAAAACTGTTACTCCGTAATTAAAGAGTATGTAATGTAATTATGAGTTAAGTATTTTATGAGTATCTAATGCTACCACGACACAGCCAATTTATATATTATGCGTAGCAGTCACTCTAATTCAGTCAAGATTAGATTGCTGTAATAGTTGTTTGTGGCGTTGGCCTCAAAGCCAAATTCAGAGACTCCAGAAGGGACAAAATACTGCAGCACGCATTATATAGCGTAGAAAGAAATCTGACAACATCATGCCAGGTGTTAACGACCTCCATTGGCTTACTGTGAGTGAGCGCACTGGCTACAATGTCCCTGGCGTACAGCTGTAGAGAAGGAGCTGCACCTGTATATCTTCAAAAACTGATTTCTAAACATGTATCCATACAGAACCTGCGCTCTTCAACACAGGCCTTACTGGGAGTTCCCAGTGTGGATGGACACGGAAAGAAGTCATACGGAGCGCGCTCTTTTAAAGCTATTGTGCCTAAATTGTGGGACAGTTTGCCCCAATCTTTGAGGGAAATTGATAATGATACAAAGTCATTTAAGAAACAGTTAAGTACTTTTTTTTTCTTTAAATAGATTTTAGGACATTAGAGCGTTGTGAGCATGCTCAAATAACACGTAAAAGTCTTCAATCATCATCATATTTCTGGAGTGTAATGTTACTATGAAACAGCTAGTAAAAGAATTCAATCATCATCATATTTCTGGAGTGTAATGTTACTATGAAACAGCTAGTAAAAATATTCAATCATCATCATATTTCTGGAGTGTAATGTTGCTATAAAACAGCTAGTAAAAATATTCAATCATCATCATATTTCTGGAGTGTAATGTTACTATGAAACAGCTAGTAAAAATATTCAATCATCATCATATTTCTGGAGTGTAATGTTACTATGACACAACTGTTGCCGGGGTCCTCTAACGTTGCCACGACATAATTAGTTCTGTGTGTGTAATATCGCCATGACACGGTTATTTCTGGTCGTGTCAGGTTACCCATGACTCCGTGTAACGCGTGTGTAAACCGACACGTTAACTTACCGTCAAGAAAAAGTTAAAGGGCTGCGGCACACCGAATTCCCCCGGGTTCACGGCGTCCACATACGCCACGATCAACATATTGAAGGTGGAGTTCAGTATTAGAATGAGAACGGCCTCCAAACCGGATTGGTGCGGTACGGAAGGATTGTCCATGAAGTTGGAAAACGTCATTGTTCGATCTTTAAAATGGAGAAAAAAAACCAAAACCATATCCGTCTCAAATGACAAAGCAACAGTTGAGGCGGCTACACTCGAGACATTTGTGTCCACTGCCTCCTGTCTTCCAACCCCCCCCCCCCAGTTCGTAACACCACTGCTGAGTCGCCCTTGCAACCAGTGAAAGTATCCCATTGAAACCCATGGACAGTGACATCGCGAACCCCTCTGAAACATAGGAGCCAGAATGATCAATTCATTGATCCTGGGCCCTCCAAATAAAGAAAAAGAAGAAGAAGAAGAAAATGTGTTCGATTCAAAGACTTCACAGAAACTTTATATCAATAATTCGTGAGTATAATTCGTTCGGGAGTTTGGGGGGGGGGGGGGGGGGGGGTTGGGGGGGGGGGGGGGGTGTTTCGTGAGTATAATTCGTTCGGGAGTTTGGGGGGGGGGGGTGGGGGGTTGGGGGTGGTGTGGGTGTGTGTGTTTCGAGCTGTCCACCCTGATCCATTTTAATACCATGACTTAAAGTTAAGATTGCTTTAATCCAGCCAATCTCCGATCAGTCGTGTGGATATTACTAACCTGTGACCATTGTGTTTTGACACTTTAGTACACATAATCTATTCGCCACGAGACTCCACACCGCAACACAAGGGGTGGAAATGTTAAGATTGGGGTTATCTTAGACATTTCACCCCATCTTAAAGATTGGTGAGGTAGCTGTATATTTGTTATGGTCAGTACGTCACATCGGGAAATAGCGTCGGTGGGTCATCGAGCGCGAGCTCTTAACCCCCCCCCCACACACATACACACACCTCCAAACGGGCCAGACGCCTGTTGGTCAATGCGATGACGCGCTATTCCATATCAATGTATGTAGTTATTTTATTACTATTAATCTGTTATTTTGAATTTCGATTAAGAAAATCCTTTGCCCAAAGTCGGTGCAAACCATACACGCATTCGCATTTGTTGTGTCTAAACGCGATTCCAGTAAGTTGATTGGGGGTCAGTAAAACTGACGCTTAAGATAATTATTACTTTTTTTTTTTTTAAATAATGGTAATCTGAATAAATTGTTTCCTCTCAATTCACGGGCAAGTGTTACCCAATCCACGTTTCCTTAGCACCACCATGACAACGACCAATGAGAAGAGAGCGGAACCAATCCTGTCGATCTTTTCACCGTGGGAAGTCAATTAAGTTTTGTCCTTCATGGTCGTACCCCATTCAGTTTTCAACTTTCGACTTTTGTAATAACTCGGTTTGCTAAAATGATATCTTTTTATTCATCATGTTTACTGGAACTTACCTCTCAGTTCCATTCTAACCAGCTGGATGTTTACGGGAACTTACCTCTCAGTTCCATTCTAACCAGCTGGATGTTTACGGGAACTTACCTCTCAGTTCCATTCTAACCAGCTGGATGTTTACGGGAACTTACCTCTCAGTTCCATTTTAACCAGTTGCTTCAAGAAGATGTCCAGCCCAGTCTGGGGTACAATGGTGCCCACAAGCAAAGTCATGATGCGTGATGTCATGTATTTGATCGCCAGGTCAACTCCGAACGAGGTGGCCACGAAGAGCGTCGCTGACGCCACAACAGCATTGCGAGCTGCCGAGGACACGAGGGGGGGGGGTTGAGGAAGAAGATGGTATGTTTAAGGGGACGATAATTGGGTATGGTGATTGGATAAATAGGAGGATGGAAGGATGGGGGGGGGGGGGGGGGGGGGGGGGGGGGGGGGGGGGGGGTGGTGTCAAATAGTTCACCTTGTCTAACATCTTATGATGATGGCGACTATACGATGTCTCGTATTCTGATGGCAAATCTGCCTGGTTCACAACACGGGACTAGTGTGATTCAAAAGACACTAAACAAGTTTATTGTGCATTATGGCTTTATTTTGCACAGAACTCAAACATCCACCTGATACACAATGACGTTAGTCCATAAATACATCTCGCAAGGAAAACAGTATATAATATCCCCCCTCCCTCCCTCTACCCCTCACTCTCTCTCTCCCCCCTCTCTCTCTCCCCCTCTCTCTCTGTCTCTCTCATCTCGGCACGCGTTGCAATGCCACACAAAGAAAGTACTTTTATACAGACAATATTTCTTTTCTTTTTCCGTCTAGAAAGCAAACGAATAAGATAGAAGGTTTTTGGACACGCGATCAGGCCACGTACAGCTGTCCATGTGAAAAGTGAGCAGGCTACATACAGCTGTCCATGTGAAAAGTGAGCAGGCTACATACAGCTGTCCATGTGAAAGTGAGCAGGCTACATACAGCTGTCCATGTGAAAAGTGAGCAGGCCACATACAGATGTCCATGTGAAAAGTGAGCAGGCCACATACAGCTGTCCATGTGAAAGTGAGCAGGCTACATACAGCTGTCCATGTGAAAAGTGAGCAGGCTACATACAGCTGTCCATGTGAAAAGTGAGCAGGCTACATACAGCTGTCCATGTGAAAGTGAGCAGGCTACATACAGCTGTCCATGTGAAAGTGAGCAGGCCACATACAGCTGTCCATGTGAAAGTGAGCAGGCTACATACAACTGTCCATGTGAAAAGTGAGCAGGCCACATACAGATGTCCATGTGAAAAGTGAGCTGGCCACATACAGCTGTCCCTTTAGAAAGTAGCAGGCCACATACAGCTGTCCATGTGAGAAGTTAGCAGGCCACATACAGCTGTCCATGTGAGAACTTAGCAGGCCACATACAGCTATCCCTTTACAAGTTAGCAAACAACACGGCTGTCCATGTGAGAAGTGAACAGGCCACATACAGCTATCCCTTTAGAAGTTAGTAGGCCATATACAGTGAGCAGGCTACATACAGCTGTCCATGTGAAAAGTTAGCAGGCCACATACAGCTATCCACGTGAGAAGTTAACAGGCCACATACAGCTATCCCATTAGAAGTTAGCTGGCCACATACAGCTGTCCTTGTGAGAAGTTAGCAGACGACATAGAGCTGTCCCTTTAGAAGTTAGCAGGCCAAATACAGCTGTCCATGTAAGAAAAGATTAGGCCATATACAGCTATCCCTTTAGAAGTTAGCAGGCCACATACAGCTGTCCATGTAAGAAAAGATTAGGCCATATACAGCTATCCCTTTAGAAGTTAGCATACAGCTGTCCATGTAAGAAAAGATTAGGCCATATACAGCTATCCCTTTAGAAGTTAGCAGGCCACATACAGCTGTCCATGTAAGAAAAGATTAGGCCATATACAGCTATCCCTTTAGAAGTTAGCTGACCACATACAGCTGTCCAAGTAAGATTAGATTAAGCCACATACAGCTATCCCTTTAGAAGTTCGCTGGCCACATACAGCTGTCCATGTGAGAATTGAGTAGGCCCAATTCGGCTGTCCACGTGGGAAGTGAACAGGCCACATACAGCTATCCCATTAGAGGTTAGCTGGCCACATACAGCTGTCCATGTAAGAAGTTAGCAGGCCAGTTACAGCTGTCCATGTGATAAATTAGCAGGCCACATACAGCAGTCCATGTGATAAATTAGCAGGCCACCTACAGCTATCCCTGTGAGAAGTGAGCAGGCCACATACAACTGTCCATGTGTGAAGTGAGCAGGCCACATACAGCTGTCCATGTGAGAAGTTAGCAGGCCACATACAGTGTCCATGTAAGAAGTGAGCAGGCCACATACAACTGTCCATGTGTGAAGTGAGCAGGCCACATACAGCTGTCCACGTGAGAAGTGAACAGGCCACATACAGCTGTCCATGTGAGAAGTTAGCAGGCCACATACAGCTGTCCATGTGAGAAGCCAGCAGGTCACATACGGCTGTCCACGTGAGAAGTGAGCAGGCCACATACAGCTGTCCTTGTGAGAAGTTAGCAGGCCACATACAGCTATCCCTTTTGAAGTTAACAGGCCATATACAGCTGTCCATGTGAGAAGTGAACAGGCCACATACAGCTGTCCATGTGATAAGCATGGATTTTAAAAATTGAGTGCACACACTTGTAGCGACTGATCCACCAATGCAATAGATCAGATTGAAATTATATCTATATAGCTCATATAATTTAACATTTTTAAAAAAAACGAATTAAGAGGCCCTTACTCCAAACGGAACATTGTAAAATGGTTGTATTAATTCAGAAACCTACTTATTTTGTCACGCACAAACTGAAATACTGTGGATCACCCGATAGTGCATACCTGACACATCCGCGGCCAGACACTGGCTACATTCGTTTTTAAAGCGGTTATCGCAACAACAACAACAACAAAAGAAAAATGGAAATGTTGTTCTTTTTTTAAAAAACAAAAAAAAATTGTTTTAAAGCCATGGGGAATTTGTTGTCAAAACCGGTGGCAATTTTTTTGCAAGGTCATGGAAACAGTTGCAAGAACAAACTGTTCCTAAAACCATGGAATTTTTTGTAACTTCTTGCTTAATCTCAGGCTTTCAACCACTCGGAAAGATGATGTAACAAAGTTACGCTTGCATCCTTGACATAGTTTACAGAATTTTTACAAGGATCGATCATGGATGAACAACATCCAAGGGATTAATTAATTTATACCGACGACGCTGAAAAAACGAAATTAAATGACGTGTAACTTAAATTGAAAGGCTTACCTTTGTTGATGAAGCAGCTCAGTAGGAAGGCAAAAGTGGTGATGTTGACGGTGTACATGACGTAAAAGATGAACAGCAGGATGGGACTGCTGTTGAAGATGGGGCCAGCTGCGCCAGAAAACGGGATACAGCACGAGCCGACCAGGGCTATTGTTATAATCATTCCGAAGGGCAGGGCCCCCAGGAGGCATGAGATCCAGTACATCGTAGAGCTGAGGCCCATGAGCTTCATGGACTCCTGCAACACAAAACAAGAACATCACTTAGTGCTTCATGGATTCCTGCAACACACAACAAGAACATCACTTAGTGCTTCATGGATTCCTGCAACACACAACAAGAAGGGCAGTGATTTCTATTTTCAGCTGTTCCCTTGGGTAGTGGTTTCTTCTAAGCCCACCTGCTCCTCCCTCGGGCGATATTTTCGTGCCTACAGATGCAACCCCCCCCCCCCCCCCCCCCCCCCCCCCCCCCCCCCCCCCCCCCCCTCCCCCCCCNAACACATAAACCCGAAGAAGAAGAACGACAGCACGAGGACGATCTTCGAGAGCACGAGGTCCTTCCTTGACTCCACGGTGGCCATGTTCGGCATGATGAGGATGTTGATGGGGAACTTGGTCTGGTTCAGATTCAGCTGCCTCTGCCAGTAGTTGATGAAGATGGTGCTGGTGTAATACACCAACTCTAGAAAATCTGCGCCGTATACTGCAGGTAAAAGAGTTAGGGGAAAAGGGGTGGGGGGGCCAAAAGTGGGGGGGCGGGAGGCGGGGGCGGGGCGGCGGTCATATATTTTATTTTCCAGAAGCCAAACAATGTTACGTTACACTAATTACAGTAATATTTTCTTTTCTTTTTCGGAAGATGAAATCGTCTCAATTTAATTATGGTGTAAAAAATAATCGGTTTGAAAGTGTTGCTGGGAAATCAGCATATTTAATGGGCGTGAAATAAAAGAAATGTGCAGAGGCGCATCATCGGGGGTGGGGGTGGGGGTGGGGGGGGAATGTAGCAAATGTGGCATTCTTAAATGTGTGTTAGTTCATGTTTTGTCAAGTAACTTTAGGAGATGAGCTCTAACTAGGACATGGGAAGTTCACGCATTGCCGTCGCCAATCTTTGGCGAGCTATATTAGTACATGGGAAGTTCACGCATTGCCGTCGCCAATCTTTGGCGAGCTATATTAGTACATGGGAAGTACATGCATTGCCGTCGCCAATCTTTGGCGAGCTATATTAGTACATGGGAAGTTCACGCATTGCCGCCGCCAATGTTGAGCTATATTAGTACATGGGAAGTTCACGCATTGCCGTCGCCAATCTTTGGCGAGCTATATTAGTACATGGGAAGTACATGCATTGCCGTCGCCAATGTTGAGCTATATTAGTACATGGGAAGTTCACGCATTGCCGTCGCCAATCTTTGGCGAGCTATATTAGTACATGGGAAGTACATGCATTGCCGTCGCCAATGTTTGGCGAGCTATAACTAGTAGATATTAATTTCTACTGATATTTTCTTTTCTGCGCACATGTTGGGATGGGTAAACTGTGAACTCTTCAAATGTCAATACATTATTTTTCATTGTATGACATAGCTGTGTACTGAAGTTCAACATTTTCTTCTCTACGGAGCCTACAATTGTGACCAACACAACAAAATAACTCCCACAGCTCATTGGCGACCATGAAAGCGAAATTAAAGGTGTTTCAAAAATCAAAAATCTATTTTGCATATATTTAGATATTGAATTCGAATTTGGTCATCTAATGTTTTAATAAATAGCACCAAAAAAAAAGACCTTATGTGGGCCGTGTCTCCCCCCCCCCCCCCCCCCCCCCCCCCCCCCTTGTCGACCATGAAAACGAAATTAAAGGTGTTTCAAAAATCAAAAATCTATTTTGCATATATTTAGAAATTGAATTCGAATTTGGTCATCTAATGTTTTAATAAATAGCCCCAAAAAAAAAGACCTTATGTGGGCCGTGTCTCCCCCCCCCCGGCCCCCTCCCCCCCCCACACACACACACAAGTTTTAAGCTCCTGGGTATAGGGGCACTGAGCTAAAGAAATGTATAAAGCTAGCCGGTCTCCCTTACTCACACGAGTGTACAGGTCAATGGTTCAAAGGACAAGTGTACTTGGCTATAGCCCCGCCCCAACAGTGGCGGCCGCAGGTGGGTACTTGACAAAACATGCGTTCAAGTAACGTACTGTAGAAGAATCCAAATCAGTGCCCCCGCGCAAGCCCCGCCAGGTTAGCAAAAACACAGTTGTTTTTTTTCCCACGTCCCTGAACTATATGTATGTTCTTATGTCCCACCGCCTTCTCCACCGCATATTTATTACACCAAAATTAAATTTAGACTATTTCCGTATATCAAAGAAAAAATAATAATAATACTACGCACCCAACCAGTTTGCGGTATTTGTTAAAAATCCGATTGTGCGCAGTTATCGTGGATTTCATTGAGTGAAATCAGCGCCATCTGGAAACCTTATTGACATTGTCACATGGAGAATTGTGTTAAGCGCCATCTGGTAGCGTAATTGACATTGCTGCATGAAGAATTAGTATGTAGACTTGCATATAGAGACCGCCAGAAGTGATTTTCTGAATTCGGCCGAAACCAAAGCCGAAACCAAAGCCCAAACCAAAAGCTTAACGAGACTTTCGGCGGAAACCGAAACCGAAACCAAAAGTTTTATGAGACTTTCGGCCGAAGTCGAAACCGAAGCCGAAAACCAAAACAGTTTAGACATTTAGACATTCGTTCACGCATACATCTGCATACATGGGGAAATGATGGGGGAAAGCATCAATATTTACATTCCTTTTTTTTTAAAAAATGAGATCATCGTGAATATTAATTAAATAACATGTTATGAATACTTTGGCTTTTACCATTTTAATTTAACAGTACGAAGTGGCTATTCGGACGCGGGTTAGAGTTTTGGATTTTAAAAAAAAATTTAATATATTAATATATATATTTTTTAAAAATTTATTGTTATTATTGCTAGGTTGTAAGACAAAATTTGGTATCGCATGAAAGATAATTGAATGGGCCTTATGTTTGTAAACTTACTTCTTCAGTTTAATTAAAATTAACTACCACAAATGACATCCGGATATTCTTTGTTTTACGATTTTCGGATAATGTATAATTTTTAAAAAACAAGGCAAAAGTGGGCTTACTTTTTTTTTATGAAGATAGAAATAGATCAAATTCCTTTAATAGTAAATATATTTATATCATATTATTATGGGGGTTTTTTTTCTCCAATCTTTAGAGAAAAAAATGTAAATCAATGGGGTAAGTGAAGAAAAGGGGTAAATCTAATTTACTTCTCTAGCGTACAAATCGTCCCTCAATTAACTTCTTTAGTGACAAAAGTGATATAATTAGTGATAATTTAGACTGGGTAATTTAAGGTTATGTTTAGAAGGAGACACGTTATTTAGGGGTGGGAAAGGGAGTAGGGTAGGCGTATAATAGAGCAGATAAATGTTTCTCAAAACTTAATGGTGTTTGAAACGTAAATATTATTACGTAGATACTTCTCTTTAAAGTTAGGAATTGTGATGAGTTTATTCAATAGCATGGTAGAAATTATCGCAATAACATCGGGTCATTTATTCTAAGTTATAAATAGTCTTTCTTTAAAATACGTTTCACTTCAAGAGTCATTTTTGTTTTAATACTTTTTTTATTTCAAATATGTATTTCTTTCATCTACTTCGGTAAACTTGGCCATACAAGTGACATGTGTCAAGACAATACAAACGGTAGTTATTAACACACACAAAATTAATGATGAAGCGTGCACCGTTAGCATGAGCGTGCACCGTTAGCATGTGTGTGCCCCGTTAGCATGAGCGTGCACCGTTAGCATTGTGAGTGCACCATTAGCATAAGCGTGCCCCGTTAGTATGTGCGTGCCCCTTTAGCATGAGGGTGCCCCGTTAGCATAATCGTGCACCGTTATCATGTGCGTGCACCGTTAGCATGTGAGTGCACCGTTAGCATGTGCGTGCCCCGTTAGCATGAGCGTGCACCGTTAGCATGTGAGTGCACCGTTAGCATGTGCGTGCCCCGTTAGCATGTGGGTGCACCGTTAGCATGTGCGTGCCCCGTTAGCATGAGCGTGCATCGTTAGCATGTGCGTGCCCCGTTAGCATGAGCGTGCACCGTTAGCATGTGCGTGCACCGTTAGCATGTGAGTGTACCGTTAGCATGTGCGTGCACCGTTAGCATGTGCGTGCACCGTTAGCATGAGCGTGCCCCGTTAGTATGTGCGTGCCCCGTTAGCATGTGCGTGCCCCGTTAGCATGTGCGTGCCCCTTTAGCATGTGAGTGCACCGTTATCTTGTGCATGTCCCATTAGTATGTGCGTTTACCATCATCACGTGCGTTAGCATGATGTGCCCGGAGAGATGCCGGAAACAAACACTGCACGCAGGGGACACAAAGTGCACGATCCAACTCAATATCCGGTGCGCAACAATTACTAGTGAATACGCGACACCCACGACCATTTTTAACTTCCGTCTTCTCGGCCTACGATTGAGGGGGACCATAAGTTGATGACCACTTACGATGAGATGGCCCGTAGAGTTCATTCTCGCGGTATCTTTCACGGACGACAACTTTAAACTTGAGATTCTTGGGCACTGCCGCCTGGTCGTCCAGCTCGAGCCTCACTGTGCTGAAATCGTCTTTTTCTTCCTTGTTTTGCATGCCCGCTGCCTCTTTTAACTTCTTCGTCGCCTTTTTGGCCTCCCCCAATTCCATGGCCTGGAGATCTAGGGGGAGGATCGGTTAGAAGAGGTGCATTAAGAGTGGTTGGTTAAAGGGGGTTGGTTAGGAGGGTGGGTTGGAGGTGTTTTGGGGAGAGGTTGGTAAGAGAAGTGAGTAGAAGGAGCGGGTAGGAGGAGTGGGTAGGAGGAATTGGTAGGAAGAGTGGGTAGGAGAGTGGGTAGGAGGAGCGGGTAGGAGGAGGGGTAGGAGGAGCGGTTAGGAGTAGTGGATAGGAGGAGTGGGTAGGAGGAGTGGGTAGGAGGAGCGGGAAGGAGGAGTGGGTAGGAGGAGCGGGTAGGTGGAGTGGGTAAGAGGAGCGGGTAGGTGGAGTGGGTAAGAGGAGTGGGTGGGAAGAGTGGGTAGGAGAGTGGGTAGGAGGAAGGGGTAGGAGAAGTGGGTAGAAGGAGTGGTTAGGAAGATTGGGTAGGAGGAATTGGTAGGAGGAGTGGGTACGAGGAGTGGTCAGGAGGAATGGTTAGGAGGATTGGGTAGGAGGAGTGGGTAGAAGGAGTGGGTAGGAGGAGTTGTTAGGAGAAGTGGGTAGGAGTGGGTAGGAGGAGTGGGCAGGAGGAGTGGTAGGAGAAATGGGTAGGAGTGGGTAGGAGGAGTGGGCAAAAGGAGTGGGTAGAGGAGTGGGTAGGAGTGGGCAGGAAGAGTGGGTAGAAGGAGAGGGTAGGAGGAGGGGATAGGAAGAGTGGGTAGGCA